AGAATAGAAAGGCCCAACTGACGCATAGTTTAAGGTCTGGTAGAAGTTATAGGTTTTCTCATTTACTAGACACCCTAAATAGGGGAGCGATTCCAAATGTGAGGTCTCTCGCCTGAACAAGGGGAGAGGACATTTTTTCCTTTCTCTTCCGTTGTAGAGGCGGAGATGATTGGGAGGAGAAAACGCGCAAAAGTACAATATAGAACACTCGCAATGGTAGGGGCCAACACGTGGCTTACTACCAAAGGAACTTTGGATGCTCGATTGGCCGTGGCCATCTCCTGTCCTGTGCAAACTGACTGCAAAATAACTAAACCTGGACCTGGCGAGCGTTTTAACTCGTCTTGGAATTTCAGGTTGTCTCGTTTTTGGTTGTTCTTTTTATCAGCGTATAGGTACTTTATATTGTTTTTGTAAGATCACCGTAGATTTGTTCTTTTAAATAGATTTCTCCTCCCCTATTTTAGTTTTTTAATAATAATAATAAATTATTGTAGCATTTTATTTATTGTATTTAGACGACCTTCTCACAGAAGTCTCAAATTTGTTCTTCCCACATGCTTATCAGTGGTAGAGATTGATAGCGATTTCACTCAATAAACTATGACAGTTAATACCGTTGTCTCGAAGGTTAACACGGCGAAATGTCCTAACAGTGTGGCTAAATTCCCATGTGAGAAGACATGTGGAAGCATGTAGGAAACCAGTGATACGAAATGGCATACAATGTGATGCCTGTGACCGTTGGTATCACAAGGCCCGTAGCAAGATTGAGAACAGGGTCTATGAAATTCACATTAAGCGCGACTTCATAAAATGGTTCTGTTTGGAATGCCAGACCCTGCTAGCAGAAATAAGATCCATAAAGCAGGCGGCAGGGACACAACCTGAAACAGCTAAAGCAAGCAACCAAACCGAAACATATTTTGAAACACTGACTAAAAGTATGGAAAAAGTTGGAAGGGAAGTGCAGACCATAGAGATGCCCATCGAGGTGCCTAGGTCGATAACTGAAACTGAAACTGTATCCGAACAGACGACAGAATTTCGAAAGCTGCAGGGAGCAGTAGAAACACTCAGTAAGACGGTTGCTATGATCAAAGTAGTCAGTGAAATAGCCTTAGGTAGGCAACGCAACGTTGTAATCGAAGGGATAACCAAGCCGCTCAACCGGGGAACTAGCCAAAGGAAGAGAGAACTCCAGCAACGAGTAATTGATCTCCTGCGTCTAGTGGGCATCCCATCACACGCCCTTATCAAGAGGACTTTGGGGCTGGGAAGTGGAACCCCAACCCGAGGGACAACCACATCCGCCCTGTACTGGTTGACTTCGGCAACCCCCGATACAGATATAGGTTCTTGGCAGCCGCGGGAGTGATAAGCCAACAGACTGACAGGCACATTAAAATAGATCCGAACAGTCTAGCACAAATGAACTCAAGTAACAGGAGTCCGCGCTCAATGGCTGCATTTGAAAATAAGTCGCCACCCTCCCAAACGCAAACCCCTATTATAAGCCTCAGGCGATGCAACCAATCACTAAACACGCACAACAGCATGAACCGGGACACGAATAGCCCATGAAATGAGATAGTAGCACGGGAACTACACCCCAATTACAGTCAGAAAGAGCCTAAACAGTCGTATGTAGCACGTCACCCGACGCAGCCAAAAAAACGGGCGCAGCACTCGGGTATAACACCTGAGTGCATCGACCGCAGGAGGTACAGTAATGGGAAGCAGCAAGCTATAGGTCTATCCAGCTTCTACAGTAACGCTTGCAGCATAGGGAGCAAATGGAAAGAACTGCAAGAAGAATCAGCAGGCGTCGACTGCATAGCAATCACTGAGACGTGGCTAAATAGCCAATACAGATCCACTTTGCCCACAAGGTTACATCAGCTACAGACGGGACAGAGAAGACCACATAATTGGAGGATGAGTCCTATTGCTACTAGCACAGCACATTCAACAGCGGCAGGAGAGTATATTTGTCTCCTCGTGCATCCAAGCCACTTTTGTTGAAATTACTTCCCGTGGCAAGTGTACTCATCCTATGTGCTCACCGAAGCCCCTCATCAACTAAGGATGAGAACACGAGAGTCGTTGACTACTTGAAACAGTCTTCCTCTACATACATGAATGTATTACTTGTTGAGGATTTAAATACGCCAGAAATTGACTGGGCCACCGGATGGGTACATGGGTCGTCGTCTTTCTGCGAGCACCTACTAGAAGTATTCAGCGTAAAGAACCTTGTACAACACGTCCACCGTCCAACGCGTTGGAGAAAAGGGCGAAATACGTCCTCGATGGATGTAATCGTGACGGAGTATCCAGCTGAAGTCGAGGACCTGTATATTGCAGCATCTCTTGGTAGAAGCGACCACGGAGCGCTCCGTTTCCTATATGTCATTGATAGAGAAATGCCACCCGACAAGTTGAGGCGGTCCTACAACCGTGTCGATGCAACCGCTTTAGTGTCTGGGGCAGCAAATATGAACTGGCAAAGTCAGTCCACCGACTTGAATCAAACATGGGGACAAATCAGAGGAAACTTGCTAACCCTAACTGAGGAATTCGTCACACTGAGGCGACTGCTTCGAAGAGGTAATCCACCCTGGTGGAGAAGTGCGGCGTGCAAGGCTCAGAGGACAAAACATCTTGCTTGGAAGCGCTCCGCTGCTCAACAAAGTCATGTTAGGTATCTCCAGTACCTTCGAGCTCAAGATACGGCCATTAGCATCCAGAAGAGTTACAAAATGAGATATGAGTTGGCTCTAGCATCAAACGCAAAATCATGCTCAGAAGCTTACTTGAACTATGTTCAGTCAAAAGAAAGCATAAGAGTAACTGTGGGTAATGTGCTACCTGGGTCAGGAGACCATGCAACTGCATCTGACCAGAAAGCCGAAGCTTCACTGGATTTTTTAGTACCGTTTACACGAATGATAGCGGTACACTCTCAGGAGAGTTCATGCTCTCTCAGCAGATGGAGCAAATGGAACACCCCACCATATCCACTGAAAAAACAGCAGTGATTTTAAGGGGACTTGAGAAGCAAAAAGCTGCAGGTCCGGATGAGATCCATCTTGCATTACTGTCCCCTTAGCTGACGTTTCAGCACCTCATCTCACTAACCTATTTAACAGATCATTAGAAACAGGTAAAATACCCGAGGACTGGCGGATAGCGGAGGTGGTACCAATCCATAAAGGCAGTTGTCGGGACAGCGTTGAGAATTATCGACCCGTAAGTCTTCTCCCGTTGGTGCTTAAAGTTATGGAGAAATTCATAAGAAAAGCTCTAGCAAACCACTTAGTCACACAGCACCTCATACAACCCTCCCAACATGGGTTTGTTGGTGATAAGTCATGTCTCAGCAACTTGCTGTCATACCTCGATGATGAGACTGCACGACTTGACAGGGGTGATGCACTAGAAATTTGCTACTTGGATTTCCGGAAAGCCTTTGACTCCATAAATCACCGTTTACTGCTTACCAAACTCAAGGCTCTGAACGTGTCACCAACAGTGGTGTGATAGCTAGGGGATTACCTTAGGCAGCGGAAATTTTACGTCAAAGTGGATGGTGAGTGCTCCCGCCAAGCCATTGCCTGCAGCGGAGTACCTCCGGGTTCATTCTTGGGGCCGTTATTATTCATTATTTTTATAAACGATTTAACTGTCTTCCTGTTACCTGTTCGCATATGAAGCGAAGATAGTCGGAAACCCACACGAGGAGACTGTACAAGCTGACCTAAATACCCTCCAGCAGTGGACTGAAACCTGGGGCTTAGCCCTAAATATAGGAAAGTGCAAGCAACTACAGACTGGGGAACCACCTGCACCCAGAACCATCAACCAGGAAAATCCCCAGATCATAGAAAAGGTTACGAAAACAAGGGACTTCGGCGTTAACATCCATGAGTTATTTAAGTCATCTGCCCATTGTGTTTTTGCAGCACAGAAGGCTATCTATCAGTTACTCAGGACAATAGATTCCAGAGCTCCCAAGTTCTCATACCCCTATTCAAGGCAATAGTCAGGCCGCATCTTGAGTATGCCGTGCAAGTTTGGGTTCCAGACCTAAAAAGGGATCAGAAACGTTTGGAGAATGTCCAGCCAAGGTTCACAAAGACCATTGCGGGCTTGAGGGACGTTCCATACGAAGAGAGACTAAGAACCTTGGGACTTTTTCCCCTCCATAGAAGGCGCCTCATGGGTGATCTCATCGAAGTATTCAAACAGATGAAAAGACTGCCCAATACATCTTTGCCCCTCTTAACGCTGGAAGAGATCTCTACAACGAGAGGTCATAGCCTCAAACTGAAGAAGCCCAGGGCACTTAAAAGCGTTAGAGCAATTTTTTCTCCTGTGGAATCATTAATCGACGGAACAAGCTGCAGAGCATGTTGTTTCATCACCAACAGTAGCCCAATTTAAGGCCGGTTTAGATAAGGTGTGACCATCACTATTTTGTAACTTTATCTGGGACCACCTTACTCTCATTGTCTTATCTTGTAGCCCCAACTCTTCCACACTCCCACGTCTACCGTCTTATACCCCTATAAAACTACTTCCACCCTAGCATCAAGACATGAATGTTATACAAACCATTTTTACGTTGCAGGAGTAAAATTTGTATTCATAAGGCTTCCGGAAGTAGTCATCAACTACGAGGACTTACCAAAGATTCTGTCGTCCTCTCGCTTACTTCGCGCTCAATTACCCATTTTTCCGCTATAAATCTCGCCGTCAACAGCGTGGATACAGACTGTTGTGCGGCTGTGCTGTTGTGAGCATGGATGAGAGTATGTCTTGAAACCGATAATGCACAAAGACCAACTTGGCGACCAGCGTACCACGTCGTAGTTTTGTAGGCATAAATGTAGGCATATATGCATTTTCGTGTGTATACACTTGTGTGTACTTGAAAACGCCTGAAAGTCCCTGGTGGACAGACAGTAGACTGCTCAGTTGTGCGGCAACCACAGCATCACTATTATACAGGGAAGGCGGGCAACGGGCTAAGGTGGACACGTGCCCAGGGTCAGTACTTGAGTGCAGGTAGACTAGATAACTCGAAAAATGGCTCCATGGGGGATGAAAGAGGCTCTTTATACGTCTACACGTTTTCAATATTCTCACTTGTTTCTCTGTACTAACGACTTTTCTTCTCTTCCTTCTCGGTTTTTATCAATAAACCCTACATCCTTGCCAACCAAATTATACAGGACGATCCAAAGGAAACCATCACACTCCCAACCGAGAGAGAAAGACGACAAAGACTCCTAGGGTCGGTACAGTAAGACGCACCCTAAATCATAAGGGTAGCAGGAGTAAATTGTGGTGCTCAGTCGCAAACCAGTCCTGCAAACAGGGGAGATTTATTTGAATGAAGAGCAATAGCATTCGCTATGCTGCCCCAAAAAACGGATACGTGTTTTTACACTAAATCTGATGGTTAAAGTAACATATCAACCCTGTGCGCAATGCCAACGTGCTCCTCCAGCTAAAGAGTTTGCCGAGTTAGCCAAATCTCCCTCGATCGAGAAGTGCCCGGGTTCCGAGGCTAACCATTGTCCTGCATCTCTTCTTCCACTGTATGACGAATGATGATGACTGTTGTTGGGATCAAGGTCCCATGAATACTCCTCCATCACCTCCAACTGATCCAGCCTGGAAAACCAGACTTCTCTATTCCACCGCATGAGAGACTTGAACCATTGGTAGTGACCATTTGAGAATTGATTAAAATACGCGTACACTGTTTCTGACATATCGTGAGTATAGTCAGTGTAGAACAACCAATTCGCACTTGAGTGACGCGCAGCCGAAACCGATACGAATCCCGAAATAAAACACGATTGAACCGTAATGTTCGACGGTACTGAATTAGCAGAATCAATACAAAATGTACTATAGAGCAAATCTCAAATATGCGGCCAAAAGCACTCAGGCAAGCGAGCCGAATATGATGTCCAGAGAGAGCCAAACGGCCACTCACGTTCTCTGACCACGCCAAACTCAACTGTGCCGGGCATCGAATCAACAGATAAAAATTATCTATGGTTTTTGTGATTGAGAAATGTCAATAGAGAAGCAACACACAGATAGAGTTATATCACCCTGAATCATCATGGGTTGGAAGGATTTTCAAAAATTCAACATCATATACAGTCAGATTGTCTGCCAAGCACTCAGCGTCGTACTGACCTTCTCGTCCTGGTACCATTAAGGGTGTAAATCGGTATACATTAAGATATGCACAAAAATGCATGCATGTGTGGATGGTAGATTTGTGTGTGTTGACTATGATTGAACGTGTTCGTGGCTGTAGGTGCAAACACGTTGGGTGGTATAAAGAAGGTAACAGGCAATTACGGGAGAGAGCAGTCAAGAGTAGGCTAAGGGACTATAGTCTGTCTTCTTTCGTTTTGGTACCATAAGAGGCTAATGTATCATGTAAGATTGTTTGGTTTTGCTTGTGTATGCACGGCCAAAATCAGAATGATCCGAAGTGTGAACGCAAGATGGTGACTAATCGTCATTGGGGTGAGTGGGTGAGCTGCGACAGCTTGTTAGAGACGGATTTCTGCGATACATGTACCTCGAAGAAATGCTGATACCTCCTGAAGTATTTACTCTCTTTCTCTTCATTCTCATTGTATTATCCATTGTCACTGTCTCATTATGTTGACCATAAATGCAACCCACGCATTTGTAGACTAGACCGAATCCACATTGGGCCGTTTTTCCTGCGCTACACCAAGTTGTGTCCACCGTCATCGTGAAAGATTTATTTCTGTATCTTGTGTACTTCCTCCCGTGGATTTACTGTGTAATTATGTGCCGCAAGGACACGGAGAGAAACTCTCCGTGCTCAAAGTACAAGAAGATTGTCGGCCCTCGTGCGAAGGCCCTATTATGTGATGTGTCAATGTTGGCGTCATGTTACATGTACTAGCGTACCGCCAGACATGTAAACAGCCCTCTGGTCGTGTGACTCCCCAAATTTGAAGTTGGTATGTGACGATTGTCTCCCTACATTCCGCACACCGAGTGTAGGCAGAGGATCGCTGCCCTTTCCGACCGCAAGTGGGCTGGAGGAGTGTGCGCAGTCGACCGCATCAGCCGAGGCGCCGCCGACTAAAATCGTCGATGACAAGAAACGACTGGAACGCAGGCGTGCAAACAACAACGTGCGACCAACCTCCAGTGAGAGCCACGCAGCGACAGAAATCGAGGCTGGATCCCCTGTGCCGATTCAGACATTGCCGGAGCCACCAGTTTCGTTGTCCAACGGCAACACCAGATCGTACGCCCGAGTTGCTGCTGCCACGCATGCACCCAACAGTGCTGTGACCAGCGTCATCGAACGCCGTTTGACCCAGCGGGCATCCCGATGGCCCCCCCAACCCCAGGTCAGTCACCCTACCGGCCGTTGCAGGAGACCTGCTACCGGAACGACCCTCAAGACAGCAATGCTTCCTAGCTGTCAATATGCCGGAATTCACGGAACCTTTGGCGCAAGCCCGGCTTAACGCGGATTTATCCTTGCTTCGAGAAGTCCTGGTCAGACTCTTCGTCCCAGGCGATACGAGTGAAGACCACTTTCAGGATAGGAGCCAAACGGGAGGGCTGCGCCCCTCGTCCACTAAAAGTCGTCCTCGGATCGATGGAGGAAACCAAGTCTGTATTCCAGTGCGCCTTCCGCCTGAAAGGGGAGCCCGTCAGGCTACTACGCGACCTCGACACGGACGAACGGCAGAAGCTGAAGCAGGTATTAGCCGAGATCCATGAGCGTTGAGCAAGTGGTGAACAAGATCTCTTCATCCGGGATTTTTGGGTCCAGAGGAGGCGCCCACATTTTAGAGTATCTCCTCCGGCGTAATCTGGAGGGACGTGCCGTCGGCCGCCATCGACAGGCGCAGCCGCGCATGCAGGAAGTGGCGTGGCATCCCAACTATTAGGATTTCTAAAAACGATCGATTTTTAAATATATTTCAGAAAAAGCGATGTCGAATTCAACCGAAATGGAACAGATTTTGCTTTTCGCTGATTCAGAGTGATGTTTTAAAATTTAATTTGTTTTATTTAATCCTAATTGACTTTGTCCAGAAAGTATAAATACCGCAACCTAATCCCGACGATCACTTTCATGCTCGTACTAACAAAACGGTTGTTTTTGAACGGATGGTAAAAAATTGTTGTGGATAGCTGGACGGATTCTTGGAGGACTTCCGTGAATTCCAAAGAGTTACTTGCACTTCCTTCTACGTTGATGCGTCAATGACAGCCGAACAACTGATACGGGAAAGAAGGTTTGGTCGGAAACTGACTCTGCCTGAGGGTTTTCCGTACTATTTCATCAAATATTGCTGTGTACATCACAGAAGGCGCGGAGCAACTGCAACCAGGTAATTATGCTATCATTTCTAATGTAATTAACCCATTTTAGGCTGCAGAATATCGATTGTCCGGCATTCGTTGGAATTCGCGCGGTCTGGAGGGAGTACCGAGTGATGAAACGTTGTCTGGTGCACAACCATGACTTCCATATGGGTCAGCAGGGTCTGTATATAAGTAATCGTCGTCTATCTGTAGAACAGGATGAGGAAGTGTGTACTTTGATGGACGATTTTAGAAGTACTCGCGAGCTATGGGATTTCGCCACACAGTTTCCAGAGACCCTTAACTACGGCAGATATACGATCCATACGTCGACGAAGGTCTCAGTCGGATTCGCGTGGCGATGCGGTGATAGTTAGGGATATGCTGGAGAATCAGGGAGAGGTTAGGATAGGGCTGAACGAAGGCATCGTTTGTCACATTTATTTTGTTCCCAAGATGATGCTGTACTGCGTCGCCAGGTTTAATGATGTTTTGTTAGCAGACGCCACGCATCAGCTAAATTGTGGCGAGTACGTGCTTTGGCATGCTATGCTTGTAGATGATACTGGTTTAGGCGGAAGTTTCTTCTATGCTATCTTGCCGAATGAGAGCGGTGAGAGCTATAGATCTGCTGTGGGAGCCATTAAATCTAGGTGCCCGGTCTTTGCACAATGCAAGACTATAGTAGTTGATCGTAGCTTGGCTCAGTACAACGCGTTTTCAGAATACTTTCCGTCATCTAACGTGATATTTTGTCGTTTCCATCTCGTTAAGGATATGAAGAAGAAGCTGACAAAAAGTTAGTTTTATTTCGTATTCGTCGATGATCTTAGGCTGAAAGTTTCAGAATAGTATTTAGAATAGCTTTTGACAG